ATTTTATTGCTTTATTAATTCCCTAGGTAGATTAGGACTAGATATAATTTGTGCCTGTATAAAGGCCTCTTCCCTCATGTTAATTCAATCATCCAAGAATTAATAAGAACTCAAGAACTTTTGTTCATCCTCTTTGCTTTAGATTTTCACCAAAATTCTATAGCAATCATATCGTTTAGAGGGGTGCGGTTTGTGAACCTCTAGGCACTATCGGCGATTCAAGGCACTGGTTTGTGGCTTATCGGCAGTCGAAACACACGATCCTCATCATTGGTGCTTTCATTGAGAGGTGTTGATCGTGTGTTTTTCTCCTACCGCATTCCCTTTCTTTTTCTTTTCCTATTTTTCGTCCCCCCTCATATATCCAAAAAAAAAAAAAAAATATATATATATATATATCATAATCATCATCACGAGTCCACGAAGTAAAGAATGCAATCAAGAGAAGAAAGCCATGGCCAACAAGGAGATGAAGGACATGATCGATAATCTCGATGTTCAAGTCCGTAGTATGAGCGAGGCTATGAATACCCTAGGCGAGGGTCTCGATACCATAAAGGCGTCCGTTTGTGATTTGATGGAGATCATGAACCATCGTTTCGATGAGATGGCACGCAACATGTTGGCGCGCCAATCACCACCGCGACGGCCCAATCACGAGCGGCCTGATCATGAAGGACGCCGCGAGCGTGAGCATGATGATGACCAAGCGCGGCGGTACGGGGATCGGGATCTCGAACGACGCCACGACCGTGAGCGACACGAAGAGAAACGACGACATGATGAGCGCGAGCGAGACGTAGATCGCGAGCGACGGCGCGAGGAGTACGAGCGAGAAGACGACTTCGACCGACGGTCCCAGGCATCTAACTATCATGACCACCCGAAGCCCGAGAAGCCGAGGATCACATTGTCCATGTTCAACGGCAACGATCCCGAGGCTTGGCTCAACCGAGCCGTTCAATACTTTGATCTCAACGAGACCGAAGGACGTGATCGGGTAAGATACGCTGCCTATTACTTAGATGGAGAAGCCAACGTGTGGTGGCAGTGGCTTACTAGCGTATACCGAAGCCGACAGCGAGTCATCCGATGGAACGATTTCGAGCGCGAGTCACTCACGCGCTTCGGCTCATCCGACTACCACAATTACCACGAGGCGCTATCCCGCATACGACAGACCGACAGCTTGCGCGACTATCTTAAGGAGTTCGAGCGATTGGCATGTCGCGTACGAGGCTGGCCCGAGACTGCGTTGGTTGGGACCTTTATTGGTGGGCTGAAGTTCGACCTAGCTGCCGAGGTACGGTTAGAGCGGCCCGAATCGATGCACGCGGCTATGGAGGTTGCTCGACGCCGAGATGACCACCTCACCGCCACTAGAAGGGGACGGATGGACGTACACTATCCCGAAACACGACGCGCACAACAAGATGCAAGCGATATGGTTCCGAGCGGCCGACCACCTGACAACTCTCGACCAACTAATAGCACACGACCGCCAGTCAAGCACTTGACGCTCGAGGAGATAAGACGCCGACGGGAGAAAGGGCTATGTTTTAAATGCGAAAAAAGATTTACGCCTGGTCATCGATGCAAGCAGGCTTTTGTCATCCACGTTATAGACCCGAATGAGGAAGAGCCTGAGGTCGAGAAGGATTGGGAGCGAGAAGTCGAGATTGGGGTTCCCGAAGAAGAGGCCGAGATCTCGATGCATGCGATGGCTGGTACAAGAGGACCGACGACGATGCGGCTGCCGGCATTTGTCAAGGACCGATGTGTAGTCATGCTAGTAGACAACGGATCATCGCACAACTTCATCAACGCCGATCTATCTCAAAAGTTGAAGTTGCCAACGACGAAGGTCGAGCCATTCGAGGTACGAGTAGCCAATGGTGAGTGGCTAAAGTGCACCAAGTCTTATCGTAGGGTGCCGATCAAATTTCAAGAAGTCACCATCAAAGCCGATCTCTATGCGCTACCCTTGGTAGGACCCAATGTTGTGTTAGGAGTACAATGGCTCGAAGGTTTAGGAAAGGTGACCACCGACTACCGGATGGGAGTCATGGAGTTTGACTCAGGAGAGCACCGGGTCACGTTAAAAGCGAGAAAAGATAGCAGAGCCAAGGAGTTTGGTCTCAAGAGTATTGAGCGAGTTTGGTGTGGAGGTGGCCAGACTTTCACCATCGAGGAGGCGAGCGCACATGCGGACACAGTCGAGCCAGTTAAGTACAAAGAGC